TTTTTTTTGGGGGGGGGGGGGGAGTGTTGGTTTGGTTTTGGTGGGTTTGTTTGTTTTGGTGTTTGTTGTTGTTTTGGTGGTTTGTTTGGTTTTGTTTTGTTTTTTGTGGGTTTTTAAGGTTAGTAATATTAATCAAAAACACAACAAATGGGGACGGGCTGCACCTTGCTAGTGAAGGCTGCTTTCTTTGTGCCTTCCCTCAGGGCCATGGCAGGGCAGGTGCCTGGGCTCTTGGGGGCCTCCGCACTGCTGTCACCTGTGGAGCTGGTGCTCTGCCTTGTGGGGAAATGTCTTTTTCTTCCTTCCTTTCTCCCTCCTCTCTCCGTACATCTTGGAAGCTGGGAACAGCTCCTGAAAACATGAGTCTGATACAAAAGAACCCTTTGAACAGCTCATTTATTTCCTTTTTTAACTTTCCCATTTTTTTGAAACGCATTTCAATAGCATGCATTGTGCTATGACTTACATTTGGGAGTAATTCCATACACAAAGGCCTTTTCATTTAACTAGATTAGCCTTTTCATTGAATTACGCTTTCCCAACAGCAGCTCTAGGGTTTGATTCTTCTCTTATTTACCTGGTTGCTGACAAGCTATGTGGGACAATTCAGATTCACACTTGTAATGAGACCTGGCATTTTAAATAGATGCATTCTTTACTCTGGTTTACAGATAACCTCCTTCCACTCCCTCTTCTAGACCAATGCTGCACTTCTGCACAACCCTGTAAAATACATCAGGTTTGATTTTTCTTTGAATTCTTTCTTTTGGAGTATATTACTGCAAATGGGTCATTTCTGACCTATCACTGCCTATACATTTGATGAAAAAAGTTTAAATTCACCTTTCAAAAGTAAACATTAAATCCCAGATTTGCCCATAGATGTATTTAAATAATTCTCCATCTATTTGATATAATAAAATCCATAAAAATAATTTATTGATCGTAATAAAGTTCTGTTGGCTAGAATGAAACAATGACAACACAGTTTGGGAAGGTAAATGCAATGGATTCCTGATCTCATTCATTACCTAGATTAAGATTCAGCACCTCTGAAGTGAAGTACACTGAAGTGAAGTACGTCCTCTAAAAACACACCACCGCCTCCTAAACACTGTGTTGTTTGTGTGTTTTGTAACAAATCGCTAAGTTACACAGCTTCAGGCACATGCAAATGCGATTTTCTGAGCAAGACACTTTACCATCTAAGAGAAATCATTAACACACAGTTTTTAAAAAGACAATGCTCAAGCACAGCAGAACTCTTAGACCAGCCTTACCATGCCAAATTTGCAACTTTATATACCATTTCATTTCAACTCTACAATTTCCTCAATAAATTTTGCAAAAAACCCACATCCTCTAATTGTACTAGTGTGTAAATACATATGTGCTGTGGTTAAAAAAGGAGCAGATATTCTACTAGGAGTTTTGAAAGAAGAAATTAATATACAGAAATAGATCAAGCTATGCAATTTCAGCCAGAAAGTATAAAAGTTATGAAGTCTTTAAGACCAAGGATAAAAAGAGGAGCTTTATTTCCTGCTATTGAGTCTCTTCTATCCAAACTCCTAACATTTCTTTCCCATTTTAAGTACAAGGCTGTACCTAGCTTCTCAGACAGCATTGTGCTGTCACACTCACTGCAGCAGGGAAGGTGCAGCAGTATAAGCACACCCCAAAGCAGGCGTTCCAGGAGGGAGTTAATAGAAAGCTTAAACCAGGAGTGCCAGATCTCCTCAGGAAGTGTGCTCCAGAATTAGAGAACAGGACAACCTGGCAGGCTGTCATCACTGTCTAAAAAATATGTAAAAAACGGGTCATCAGGCCCTTCAGGGAGGGATGCCAATAATTTGTGCAAAGGGCCAGGCTGGGGGATCACACAGCTGTCTCTGAACACGAGGTTTGGAGTCAGACAACACGCTGCCATGCCGTGCTGGGCCCAGCACAATTCTATGGTCTCCAGACAACTCGTGGCCATGCTGCAAATTTGTACTTCATATTCAGGTGACATACCCATGAGCGCTCCCAGCCACCTCCGCTTCAGAGGAGCCTGGAGCCATCGGGTCCCTCTTCTCCCTAAAATCAGTCCCGCCAGGCACAGCCATACTGACATTTGCACTGCAGGCACGTCGGCTGCTCACCAAACAGCGCCCAGCATTCCAGACTATGGAACAGCTGTTTGTACAAGGCAGAACAGAGCAGCTGAGAGGCTGATTCGAGTGTACAACTGATGTGCTGTGAACACAGCACACTGCACAGCAATGTGTGACTGTGTGGGGGGCAGCAAGCCCAGGGGAAGTGAGCACAGAGAAGTCCTTTGTGTAATGGGTAGCACTTGCTCTTTACAGACAAAATTAACTGCCTTACACTTCTAAATGCACCAAAAATAATCCAAAAGAGTATTGGTAAATTGTATATTCTGGGTCAGAGCGTTTTCACAAACTCCAGACATCCCCACTTTAATGCTAAACCGCTTGCATAGATGCTTCTGCTTATTTCTACGTAGGAGTTTACTCATTTCCTTCTGGCACAAGTCCAGCACTGCTGGAAGCCTTCTCTTTCTCAGAAAGTCTGTTCCAAACATGTGTGTGCCAAGCAAGGCAGCACATCTTAAGCAAAAAAAAACCCAAAAAACCCCACAAAAAATCCACCAAAAATTAATCACGGGCTTCAAGATTTTAAATCCAAAATGGAGAAATGTGATTGCTGAAACTTATCTTCCCAAAAACAGTCTGGAAATTTCCTTATGCGCTTCAGGTATTAAGCCCACACCAGTTGCATGTGAGCAGGCAAAACCCAAATCACAGAATCATGGAATGTTTTGGATTGTAAGGAACCACAAAGATCATTTTGTCACAACCCTCCTCTGCCATGGACAGGGAACCTTCCACTAATGTCTTTCTAGAATGTCTGGAAAATGTTCTGCAATGTCTTTCCTGGTCCTACTGATTAGGAAAGAAGGGCACTATCCCTTGCCTTGATCATTGGCTTTTCGGGAAAGCTCAGAGTAAATAAAAAGGTTCAGGTCACTTTCAGGACTCTGACATTGACATAACTGTTTGTTCCTGGGGCTGCCAGGCAGCCTGGCAGTTCAAGTTATTCTGGAGCATTTCAAAGAAGTGCTGTCCTTTCTAACTGTTTCTGCATTTATGATCATTCTGTGCCTGTCACATAGTCATCAGAGTGATTTTGAGGGAAAAAAACCTCAAAATGGTTAATAATTACTAACAGTTTGACAGTCTAATAGAGACTGGAAATTCCTCTCACAGCTAAGATGCAGAGCAGTGGGGTTTTATTTTTGTTTTCAATATTCCCATCCAGATTTTAATGGCTGTTCTGACAGTGGTCCCAAGGATTGTCTGTGCACCCTCCAGTATCTGGTCGGCAAAACAGCAACCAGAACCCCTGACTCAGACTCCTGTGACAACACTTGCAGGCTTCTTTTTGTAATTGACACGCAAACAAGACCTACCTACCAGAGTGTTGTCTTGTTTCATTCCACGGCTGCAGGCTGATCACATCACCTCTGCCTCTCTCTGACCACAGTCTGAGTCTGAGGTTATTTCCACGTAGGGAGCACAGGGTCTTTTCCATAAGCAGCAAAAGATTTTTTTCCAGATTCAACCCAGAGAACTAACTCAAAGGCTGGATAACAGGAAATTTTATTGTTGAAAAAAATTATACTGGACTGACAAATGCAAAGTTTCAACAGAGAACTACTGTTTCAGACTGTATGTCTCACAAACACAAATTCAGCTTTTCCCAGTTCCACTGAAATTACACCCATTTCCCACAGGATTAAGAACAGGTCCTACTCTCACGTCTTCTTGGCACGACTGTGCAGCACAAAGGGAGTTAGCACTCAGGAGGTCATGCCCAAAGAGCAGACCTCTCATTTCTAGGACTAAGGGCAGAATAATTTCACTAGAGCACATCAAACCTTTACAACCGCCAAACAAGGTCCTCAAAATGCAAGGAGGTACAGAAGATGAAAAAGGGGTCATTAAAAATACGGCGGTATCTCTGAAAATGTCACTGGATGCTTGCAACCAGAGAGGCTTCTGACCAAGTTGTCCTGGGATCCAAATGCAGCAACAATTATGGTTCATGCATATTTAATGACTGTTAAATGAACAGGTAATATAGCTGATAAAGGCTGGCCTAGCTGAGTGTATTACTGAAGTTTAGCTACCACAAACCCAAAAATTAAGGAAAACAATGTGCCTTTTTAAGCCTTGGACTAGTTATGAACAGTGTCATTTATACACATACATCTTTGCTGTCATAATACATTGTTTCTTCCATTTTCTATGGACTGTAACAACAAACTTTATTGCTCTCTCCAAATTAAGTGTTTCCTAGCCTACTGCACTAATAACTACTCAGGAACATTTTTGGTGCAGATGAGCAGTTCAGGCTTTAAAAGAGATTACATGTGGTCATATAAAACCCAATCACTTACATTTATTTTTTACCTTTCTGCTCTCGCTGGCAGTTGTTTCTATACATCTGAGTGTTCCTCTGATATCCCTGTATGTTGATTGGTTTTGTACATGCTTGTTGTCACAGCAGAGGTGGGAAAATAAGCATAGGGAGACAAAATATATAGGACAATATATAGGACAAAAAAAAAAAAAAAAAAAAAAAGACTGAAACCCTAAAAACACTGATCAGAGAGCTCTTAAAAAATCAAACTCTAGCCTTCTACTTTGTCAAGACAGGTTTCTGCAATGAGCCATTTGCATCCACTACCGATTTCCTACATACAGAATAACACGCAGCGTGACTCCAGGCCAGCGCTGGGAGCCGCGGCCCAGCCCGGGCTGGCTGGGTTCGGCCCCGGCCCCGGTGCCGGTGCAGCCTCCGCTCGGCTCCGCTCCGCCCGGCCCGGCCCTGCGCGGAAACCTCCGCCCGCGGGCAGGGAGGGGGAGACCGGGGAGAGGCAGGCAAGGAGGCGGGGAAAGAGCGGGAGAAGAGCGGGAGAAAAGCGGGAGTAGGCCGGGGGAAGGCGGCCCCGGCGGCGGGAGCGGCCCCGGGCGCGGTGCGGGGAGGCCGGGCCGGCTCCGGGAGCCGCTGCTCCGCGGGGAACCTTCCCCTCCGCCCCGGCCCGGGACAACAGGGGCCCGGGCGGCCGCGATGGACTCCGGCAGCGAGACCCACGAACTCAACGGGACGGCGGAGGGCGCGGAGTCGGCGGCCGAGGAGCAGGTGAGGGCCGGGCCCGGCGGGGCGGGGGGACCCGGCGCCCGCGTCCTTCCCGGCGCCGCGTCCATCCCGTCGTGTCCCTCCCGAGGCCGGGCGGGACGGGGACTCCGCGAGGTGCGGTGGTGGTCGGTGCTGCTCTGTTATTGCTGCGTTTTTACCTGCCTTATTGCTGCGTTTTCACCTGCCTTTCGCGCACTCCGCGCTCGTGCTGGGAGGCCGCCGGGCAGGGCCGGGCAGAGCATCCCCGGCCGCCCCCGGCTCCTGCCGCTGCCGCCCGCCAGCAGGGCCCTCCTCGCCCGGGGCCCGCCCGCAGCTCGCCGCACCGGCAGGGCTTTGCCCACCCAGCTGGCTTGGCGGGGGGCGCGGGACATCCGCGCAGAATAAGCAATTACAAAACTAGGAGGAATTACCGAAGCGGTTGTGCGTGTATCGTTAATTTCCACGCAGTAATCAAAATAAAAACAAGAATACCCAGCTTTTTCATACTATGTGTAGTCAAAACATGACCAGACATGCTCTCTGGGAAGTATTCATCCGCATTCTGTTTAAGTATAGAGGATGTTTGCAGAACGTGCCAGTTATCTGAAGAAAACAGATGGGGAAAAGAGTGTCTTTTATCTTGTTTGGAAAGGACTAAACTCTAAAGGCAGCTCTTACTCCAGTCTAAGTCTCTGCCACACAGAAACCGCTGTGCGAAACCCTCTTATGTGTCACTGGTAAAACGTACTGGTTACGGACGGACTGGGCTGATTGTGTAGCGCATCTGTCCTTCCTCCCACCCTCCCTCCCTAACAAACCCTTGGAGTCATGGATATGAAACCAAGAAAAATAAAAATCTGTTTTTAATAAATCCTGGAAATCCTACCTAAAGTTAATCAAGGCTGGGATATGCAGGTCAAACAGGTGGTCTGGAGTGGTTTCCTCTAAACCTCTCACTTCTCAGGAGTTCTCTCATTTTCTTGACGCAGCTTTGTGATTGCATCACAAGTACTCTTGATGGGGTTTTTTTCCCCAATGTGGTCTGCACCAATAATTTTTCAGCAACTTTCCTGTTTTACTTCATCTTCGGTTGCAAGCAACCCTCATTTTGTTACATCTTTCCCATCAAAACTCAAGTTCTCAGTAAGTGCCATATAAAGAATAAGCAGTGAGACATGCTATTCCATTGTTTTAAATGTATACAGTGGCACTTCAGTGAACTTCATAAACACTTTTTAAATTTTCTCATGCACACACACACACACACACACACACACACACAAAGTATAGGTAAAGCAAGGTAAAGCAGATGGGGAGAGATTTTTCAAAAACCCATATCTGAATAGAAGATATCTTAAAAAATCTGTCAGCGTTCACAATTCCCACAAACAAAAGAACATGCCAGTTCAGCAGCCACCTAAACCTGGAGAGACCATCTGCAGCTGCCTGAATCTTCTGTATTGGAGTCAAAAGTGTGTCTCCTTTGAGGAATGCTCACAGGCATCAGAACATGGGTCACTCTTGTTTCCTTCCTGCCCGTCCCAGCATCTGTCCTCTCCTCAAAACCAACTCTCTTGCACACCTTCACCACAGACCACTACCTTCTCATACAGAAGAGCTGACATGAAATGCAGCTGTGGTTGTTACCTTCAAAGCAATCAAAGCATAAAAATTTTAAAAAGACCAGTTAAGCTCTCAGTAGTTCTGAACAAGTGGTCACACAGTGGTTTGATGTGGTTTATTTTTACTCCAGCATTCATTGGAATACATTTTTTTAGCAGATGTCAGGCTTTTGGAAGCATGAAATTGCCTGCCTCTAGGATTGGACTGGTGTGGCACACCTCGGTGACTAATATGTGTGATTACACCTGGCAGAAGTATCTCGTCTCTTCTTAAAAGGATCTGTTCATACAAATACAGATTATAACTGTTTTTTCATCCACTTGCTTTCCTTGTTCATGGTCCATATTGAAACACTCTCCATCTACCATGTTGTAAAATCTAGTTCAGTGTTTCCAAGATAACAGGATGTGCTAGATGAAGGAGTTAAAGAAGAGCTATGAAAAAGGTGAATGAGAGTTGGATAGTAGAAATAAACGGTTTTAATCATGTTATTCCTAAAAATGTGTTGAAGTCCATGTTTTAATTCAGGAGTAATTTGGAACATGAAAGTAATTTGAAACATGGCAGTTTCTTTGCATCATACTGCAAGTAACCAGCCTGTAGGAACTGGAAATTATTTTGCTGCATGTAGCCTAAAATGGTATGTTCTCATTACGCATATCAAACTGAATTTGGAGTGTTCTAGATACTCCAAATATTGATACTATTGGTGTTAAGTTTTTGCTTGCATGTTTTTTAAGTAGCTAGAGTAAACAAACAGTGTGTTAACCACACAAAATAGACAGTCCACAGCCCAGTTGTGAGTAATAGTATTGTAAGACCAAATGACTGGAATGAGTAGTAATAATGCAAGGAAGAAAATATTATACGGGAGCAAACTTCTATTTAAATAGCTGTGTGAACGAATTCAAGTTACTCCTTCATTTCACAAATTTAGTCATGAGGTGTGCTGATTATTTTACAGTAATTTAATGAGTAGAAATATTTTAACTGGATCCTGGACCAGTACAGCTTTAGGAAAATAGTGCTTGGCCCTCAGCAAACTGTACTTTTCCCTTTTTTAATATTAACTTTTATAGCTCTCAGGAGTCAACATGATTGCCACAGTTTTTTTCTTGATGTAGTCATACTTGCATGTTCTGTTTGTATAAAAGTGATTCTTCTTAAGCACAGGGTTTTGGAGCTGCTGGAAAGTCATGATGTCTGTGAAATAGAAACACATGCTGAGTTTTTCCTTTTTCCTTTTCCTTTTTTTTTTTTTTTTTTTTTTTTTTTTTTTTTGTATTTGCCTGCAACGCAACCACAGCATGTGATTGCAGAGTTCTCACAAGCTAGTTAATGTTACACTGGGTTGGTGCTTGGGTGAACATTTCCCCCCTTTCCTCACAATGAAATTTCCATGGGAAATGAAACTGATGATTCATTCCAGAGCCAGAGTAGGGGTTTTTCTCTCTTGAGTCAGTGCTAAGCTGAACAAGTGATCTGATGTTTTTTTGAAGGATAAACCACAGAGTATCTTCTGAGGAGGTGTACAAAGGATCCATTAGAGATAAGGAGGCCACAAGGATGGTGAAGGGCCTGGAGGGGAAGCCTTGGTCTGTTCAGCTGGAGAAGAGGAGGCTGAGGGGAGGCTCACTGGGGTCAACAACTTCCTTGTGAGTGGCAGAGGAGGGGCACTGATGTCTTTTTGTGGTGATCAGTGATAGGGCTTGTGGGAACCTCCTGAAGTTGTGTCGGGGAGGGTTAGGTTCTCTCTCAGGGAAAGGTTCTTCCCCAGAGGTGCTGGCACTGCCCAGGCTCCCCAGGGAATGGGCACGGCCCCGAGGCTGCCAGAGCTCCAGGAGCCTTTGGACAGCGCTGCCAGGGATGCCCAGGGTGGGATTGTTGGGGGGTCTGGGCAGGGCCAAGGGTTGGACTGGGTGGTCCCTGCGGGTCCCTTCCAACTCAGCCTATTTTGTGATTCTGTAATCATCCATTGCATGACTGATAGGGCTTAAAATATTTTTGTTGGAAGAATACTTTTTTCTTTGTTGAATATTTTACCTGGTTGTTTTTAGATCAGCAAGATCTCTGAGATGGAGGGGAAGTCTAACTTCAGAGTGGCCATATATGGCCCTTTGCAATTTCAGTGTGTAGGTGATGGAGATAGGGACAGAAATCCTACAACTATAAGTATTATTAAATACTAGTGTAAAGTCGCTGGTTCGATCCTTTAACTGTAGGTTTGATCTTAGAAAAAAATAAAAGTTCTGAAATGGTGTTCTATTTTAGTCCAGTATTATTCCTTTTATGTCTGATCCATCTCTTTTTTTATTTAACTGGAATTTTTTCCAAACATGAAATTTCCCCTCAAAGATCTGAAAAAATTAGCCATGTGGTATTTTTCTGCAAGATTAGTACTGCAAAAACATAGTAAATTACTTCTTAAACAAAATTGCTTTTTAGCATCTTTTTAACAGTTATGATTGGGAAGAATATTGCAGAACACAGTAAAGAGCTGCCCCACTAAGTTCAGTATGGCTCAGCTTTAGTTCTGCACAGCTTCATTATTATTTAGCAAGTTTCCTTTGTTTTATAATTCACACTTATTCCTAAACACAAGATTTTCAGGAAGCTTGCTCTATGGCATTACAAACCCTGAGGTCATTTTGGTCCATTCTCATTTTCAGTCAAGCCTGTTGGCCCATAAAATTGCATTAATAGCTAACCCCAAATACAAAGAAAACTGCCGTAATACTTTCTACAACAATTTACTGTATTTAGCAAAGATACTTTATTGTTTTCAAATATTTCCATTTTCAGTGCTGTTTCCTTCCTGTTGAATCACCAGGTGGGGCTTAGCTGTGATTCACTCGGCACCTAAGGACATTTGCTGCAGAGCCGCTTGTATTTGCTTTTTAATAAATGTAACTAATAACTCCTTTCTGTACTTGAAAGGGCCTCAGTTTTTCTGGCTGTACCATTGAAATGGGGAGCGAAGCAAAGCAGACGCAGAGTCTGTACCAGCACAGAGGGACTGTGAACCAGTCTTGGAGTGAAGGTTCCATCTTACAGAATCAAAAACATGCCTGTTTATGACATGGCATTGTAGCTTTATCCTTGCAGAGTGCAGTGCTCTGGGCAAGCAAACAGCCCCTGCTTCTATGAAGAGACCTAGAGTGGTGCTGCCTGTGGGGACAGCACCATGACACTGTGAAAATCAGCTCCTCCATGGTATTCTTCCAGTCACATGGAGCAGGAGGGAGAGGCTTTTCACTCCTGTCTTTTGTCTAACTGTGCATAGACCATCAGGGCAGGTTGTTGTGCTGTGAGGCTGAAGCTTTGCAGCACTGGACACCTGAAGGCAGGCCGGCAATACTGCAGGGAATGGAGTCCCAGCTGCACATGGCTCTTACACACATGTGAACTCACTGCTGGCTTTGCTCAGACTCCTTTGGAGACACAAACACGAGGGCTTAGCTTGTCTCTACCAAGGAATTTGAATGTTGAATATGTGTGAGGAGGTGTTTTGGTTGCGCTGAGACTGAAGCAGGTCTCATGCAATGCGTACTGCTCTTTTGCCAAGTGATACCTGCAGGAAAAGCATTCCTTTACGTGTACCTAGAAAATCTCCAGACATTCCACTGTCCCTCTGCACGGCCCTGTGGATGATCACAGCACAGTAAGTGTTGTTTGGTGCTGTGGGCTGCACATGTTGCTGCGTGCCCTGAAACCATAAAGCCACATAACCAAGTTCTACTGTAATTTCTGTTGTACAGACTGTCACTCTCCTGAGGTTAAGGCAGCATCTCTTCTTTCATTACCTGTGTATATATTGCTGTGTAACACACAGTCTGATCTTAGAAAGTGCTCGTGTGGTACTGACTGCATCAGCTTCAATACCTCTGGCAGTGGCCTTCAGCTTGCTCCCAGAAGACAAGGCTAATTTGCTCTTTTTTTTTGGACTTTCATTTTATGGTTTTCCAGCATCAGTCAGGAGACAGGAAGTGAATGTTTCTGGGGTTTTCATGATTACTGGTCATTTTTCCTGGTGAAGGCAAGATCACAGGCTGAGAAAAAGCTCTGGCATTTACTGCTGCCCTATTACACTCAGTCAAACATTTAGGCTTGTGGTGGATGACATGTCTGGTGAAAACAGGTCAAGTCTGGTATTTAAATGCCCTGAAAGAACTGGCAATGTGTACATGAATATCTACCCTGTTTAAAAGGACACTTTCAGGTCTGGACTGTGGCAAGCCTGGCTTGGGAGTTGATAATGTTTAGTGCTGCTGAGGAGAGTAATTAGGGGGTGTCTTCTGCATTTGAGCTAGCCTGCAAAGCCAGACTCCTTTCACAGGAGTCTGGCAAGCAGGAACACATTTGGGCAGTAAAAAAGTCTCTAAGAAGTAGATTTAAAGAAGACAGCTAGAATAAGCTTACTTTTCATATATTTGTCTATCATTTTTAAAGTGTGGAATTAAGAGCAGAAAGAATGAAATTCCTAACCTGTTCAGAGACAGCAGGATAGAGCATCACTTACTCTTCCTTCCTTGTGGATTTGGGCAGCTAAATCTAACCTAGTTACCCTAAGCTGCATCTAATGCATAGAGAAGTAGGCACCTCTGGGAGACCAGCAGTCAAATTTCAAGTCAGGTCACATGAATCATCATCAGGAAACTCATATATTCATCCCGTTGGGTTAACTGGCCCTACGTTTGCCCTGCAGTTGGTTTTTATTTTCCCGTTTGTTTGCAGACCAATTTAAAAAAACAAACAAATGAAACAACCCAAAACCAGCTGATGTGAAAATGGGGAAAAAAAGATTCCCTTGTAACTGGGCAATTCTTGGCAGCAGCACATCATATGATAGTTAAGGGGAAAAACATCTGTGTGTGGCTGTATGGATGGCCCTGGACAGTAGCATGGTGGAGGAAGGAATAGCAAGGAAAGGAGGGCAAGCAAAGCTCACACAGTGGCCAACTTCACATCAGTCCTTAAAAGAAGACTCATGACTAATGAAATAACTTTCTGGATGTGTAAGGAGAGAAAGTGAATTTAATAAATATCTGTATTTTTAAGTGCCTTCAGGAGTAAATTAGTCACAACAACATTATTTTTGTTGTTTGCTGGTTTGTGTTACCATGATTTTTCCCTCCCTCCAGAACTTTTTCTCAGTGCAAACTTTTCAACCTTTCCAGTCCCTTCTTTTCCCAGAGTAGAAACATGCTGACTGTTTAAACTGATCCCGCAGGCAAGCTGGAAAAAGTGCCAAAGGGCAGCAGAAGCAGGCACTGTTTTCTGCTCTCCTTCTGGAGGACACGGGTAACAGTGGGAGAGCTGCACAGAAGATCTCTGCACTGTTGTGGCTCTGCTCTCACTCACCATCAATTAAGAGATATGAATAACCATTTTCCTCTCTGCTGGCTCCAGCGCAGGAGGTGGCAGTGGTTCCAAAGGAACAGACCCATCAACATCAACCACTATGCCAACAAGAAGAGTGCGGCCGAGAGCATGCTGGACATCGCCCTCCTGATGGCCAACGCCTCCCAGCTCAAAGCTGTCATGGAGCAAGGGCCCTCCTTTTCCTTCTACGTCCCGCTGATCATTCTCATCAGTCTGTCGCTCACCCTACAAATTATGGTGGGAGTGCTCCTGATATTCCTTGGTAGGTAGCAACAGCAAGAACCACTGACTTGTATTTTTCTTATAGGACACAGCCTATACCATGGTAAATAAACACAGCCTTTGCTTTTAAAAAGCCTTTACCTCAGAACCGATTCAGGTTAGAATCACAGAATCATTTAGGTTGGAAAAGACCTGTAAGATCATCTAGCCCAAAAGTTAACCCAGCACTGCGCTGTTCACCACTAAACCATGTACACAAACATCACAATTGCACGTCTTTTAATTATCACCAGGGATGGTGATTCAACCACTTCCCTAGGCAGCCTGTTCAAATGCTTGACAACCCTTTCAGTGAAGAAATTTTTTCTAATATCCAAAAATACAGATTTTCTCTTGAAACCATAGAAATATTGCAACAAAGGAAGAAAGGGCAACTTTATGTGAAATCTTCCATTTTTATCACCTTCCTCCTACTCATTTGCCCATACTATGAATATTTTTTTCCTCCAGAAAGCCTGAGGAGGAAGGAAAGTTATGAAATATTGTAAAAGAAACATCAGTAGGCCAGATAGGATAATGCAGTCTATCCAGTTTCATAATAATGTTTTTGGCAAGACCTGTTACTTAATCTTATGACTGAAATGCATTTCTTCCGTGCCATATACGAAAATAATGTGAATGTGGAACTCCATAAGAGAACTGAAAGTCAAAATGTCCGTCATCATATTGGTGTGGCATGTTGTCTTTAGCTTGGCTGTGTTGCAATCAAACTGCATCTACCATTGCCCACTTGGAATAAATGACACCGCCACTGGTAGGAAACAGCTGTGGATCATTTCTGCTAGTGATATGGGATCATTTATTCTCATAACATTTTTCAAATCCCATCCTTTACCTTAGTGGGAACTATATAACTGACCTTGGGTCTAATGTAAATGAAAAGGCAGACTTCAAACATGGCATTTAATGAGTTATGGGTGCCACCTTTGGCATCCCTGTCAATCTTTCCGTATTCTGCTCTCTTATCACAGCTGAAAGAGAGTTCAAGGAGAAAGTTCCTAAGGATCCAGGATACACTTGGCTTACAATACTCACAGTTGATGTGGCTTTTTTCTTTCTTACAAAAGAGATGGAATACAGCTGTCTCTGCATTTGTTAGAGATGGTGCAAGAGCAGAATCCAGGTCTTGGCTCAGAGGAGATTGCAGAAGGGGACTGGAAAAAAAAAACAACCTGTTGATGCTGGCAGGTGTGGGAGACAAGTAATGGAAAAATCAGTAAAATACTTCTATGTTCCTTGGTTGAAGGCATCTCCCTGGTTGCTTCAGCAGGCTTTGAGGCTGTAAACAAGCTCCCTGTCTTTCTGTTGGGCAGTAATTTCTCAGTTTATGCTGAGATACTGCTTGTTTCTGCGAGACACTGCGGAAATGGTTTAAATTGCTGTTATGTTACGGGCCACATGTTCCATCGGATAGGTGGTTGGAAACAGGGACAACACGCACACCTCAAAGCTCCATGCGACAAACAGCGTGTTTTGGTGTCCAAACCTAATATATATAGGGAATTTGAAAACCCTGGTCTCAACTGCTAATTGGTCTGATCCCCACACTGCCCAGCTCCTGACCAGTGAGATGTTTTCAGCTTAGGATGGAACCTAATTGGTTGAGGCTCCTGTCTGTCAACCCAGGGACCAGTTTGTGGAACCAGTTGGGTTTCTTATTTATAGCCAAATTAATTGCCCAGTACAAGCCATCTTGTACTGTGACAAATTGCTGTCAATTTTATCTTTGTCACATTGAGGGTAACAGAGCCCTTGGCTTATGGTGATGCACTCTTGGAGCAGTGTTGTCCTGCTGAGGTCAAAGACAGGAAGAACACAGGAAACAGGACACACAGGTATGAAGATACAGGCATCAGAGCAAGAACTTGCTTTTCACAATGTATGTTTTATAGTTTTGGCTTGCAGGAATAGTTTGTTTCTGTTCAGCCATGAAATTCCGTCTCTTCAAGCTCTCACACAGCCAAACAAAAGTCTGTGCCACCATCCAATTTCTTTCCTTGAGTCAGGGTTTTAACCTGGGAGCTACCAGTTCTCACAGTTTCTACTAGGTATTAAAAGCTTTTCCTCCTTCTAAAGAGCCTTTCACGAAAACAATGTGAGAAATGTTCAGCAAACTTGTCCTTGGAAGGGATTTGTTGACCTTAACTTTTTGGAAGAAACGCAAAGAATGTCTTGAAATGGATTCAGTGGCATGAAATTATAGTAATCCATTATAATAAAATACTTAAAGAATAACTGTTCTTAAGAACATTTTCACAAACACCCTCATCTTAAGTCCTGTAATTACAAAGATAGGATTACTGCAATTCTACTCCAAACTTTTCCTAAACTGACAAGTATTACTTATCTTCTCTGACCCTCCTTTGGACAAAGGGACAGCTCTGAAAGTGTCAGTTTGCTTATCAGCATGATTGCTTGTAGCTCACATAACAGGTTAGGCCATTATTGCCTTTCTATTTTTATCCAATTGTCTCAAATGCTCTTATTCCATGTTTCAGAGCTAATGATTCAGTTTCATTTATTCTTCATTCACATGGCAGTACTAGAGTCCTTCCAGGTCGTGTTGGGTGCAAGTATTCAGTATATGCCTCCAGATACTTTACAGATGTGTAAACTCATTTTAAGGTTGAAGTACTACTGAACTTAAATTATTTCATGCCTGTAGAGGTGTGCAGTAGCTTCTCGGGGCAGTTCCCCCACACTGTTCTTCAATGCTTTGCCTGGCCTGTGATGTTTGACTACACTGCTTCAGCAAACAGGACTTGAGTAGGTGCTCAGAATTCCTTGAAACCAAAACAGCATTATTAGGGACCCCAGGTGAAGCTGGCTGTTAGCACTTCAGCATCACAAGTGTGTTTGCGACCACTTAAGTGCTTCAACAGCAAGGGATATTGGTTCACTTCTGCAATATGGAACAGGGTGATGATGGTACAAGCAAGTAACAAATTTATTTTGTGTGGGAGAGTCATAAGCTGTATGTATATGTATGTGCCTATTAGAAGGAGCTGTAGGTTTTATGTTGCTGTAAAAACTTGTCTGGTATAAACTTTCTGTCACTTGTTGTGCACATGCAGACACAAGCTCCAGTGATTTATGGTCTTGAAAACTTGGAGTCTCAACAGACAAAATGGATTCTCAAAACTTGCTCCAGAATTCATCAGCACTCACTCCATCAGCATCAAAGGAATGTAGCCAAGGGTTTCAGCTGCAGGGCCCTTGCTGGCAGAGAACAGAGACAGGAAACTCTTGCGTTTTTACATGGTGTTTCAGTGGGCATGATAGTATTTGGTCAAAGTTGGACCTGATGACCTTGGAGGTCTTTTCCAGACTTAATGATTCTATGATGCCAGGCAAGTGCCCCAGAGTCCTCACTGTCTTAAACCAAAACTATTATCAGCCCAATGTAACTAATTTGTATGCTATCATGAGGCCTGGAATCAAAGCTTACCCTACATTAATGCTTGTGTGAGCCTCCCTCACTCCCTTTAGCAGTTCAACCAAAAAACAGCTGCAGGAAACAAAGGAAAATGTTTACACAGCAGATGCTCTCTGTATAAAGGACTGCAGCTACACTGCTCTGACACCTCCCTCTGTTTAATAGATAGAGTACCCTTCCTTTCTAAAAACAGAATCAGGGCAAAGGCAGGGAGTAGAAGGGAATACAAGCTGGGGAGGGACACCAGTACAGAAAAAATCCAGCACTGGTTACAAGACTTGTAGCATTTTAACTAGGAAATTTAACTTCATCCTGTCAGGACTTGAAGCTTCATGTATTCAAGACTGAAATAATTTTTAAATGCTTAAAGTCTGCAACAAAGCTAGGCTTCAAAACATCAAGAACTCAAAAGATTTCTAGTGATGTTAGTGCATCCGTTACTTCCCATATGTCTCCACAGAGATTAGATGCTAATTACTGGAAGTTAATAAGCTCCTTGTGGTTACAGACCTTCCCCTTGGCACTTCCACTGACACTGCAGAATCTGACTTCCCTTTTAAATAGGACTGATCCAAGTAGCTTAGCATAAGGTAAATTCTGTAACTGCAGCAGTATGAAACCTTTTATTCTGGATTTTGAAATATACATATTATTAAACATTTTTTCTCCTTTCTCTTTGAAGTAAAATATGACCTTAACAACCCTGCAAAACACGGAAAGCTGAATTTCCTCAACAACCTTGCAACTGGACTAGTATTCATTATAGTTGTTGTGAATATTTTTATCACTGCCTTTGGAGTGCAGAAACCAGTTGCTGAGCCAATATCAAGACAGTAAGAACCAGGTGAGTGTGGTCTCCTGCAGCATGAGGTAGCAGAGCACTGCATCCAGAAATGCAGGGCACACTGGGGCACGTTAGAAACAGCCACAGGCTGATCTGTACTGTTGAAGTTCTTGCAGATACCTGAGCTCACTTCCCATTAGTGCAAAAGCAGAAGCTGCTGGGAACTGGTAAGCTATTACAATGTGTTTGTGAGTGTGGAGTTCAAAAGTTGATGGCAGCACGTGTCACCCGTAGGAAGTGTAAGGATTGTCCTGGCCTAGCCACTCCTTTTCCTTACTGCTGACTGAGATAATAAGGGAAATAATGTTGTTCTGCTTTCTCCAAATGCCTGTCCTTTTTTTGAGGAAGGTTTGCATCCAGTCTGTTACTTAACACTGAAGACAATCTGTTTCCAAGTAGGGCTGTTAAATCTGACATGTAACACTGCACATGCTGGAGCCTCTCAGTTTCTGTGCTGGCTGCAGATCGTGTGGCTCCTCTGTCCTTCACAGGACAGGGCTTTGCTCTGTGGGAGACTGAGCTCACAAAGATGAGCACTATCACTTCACATGTGGCCATTTAGGACAATGTTGTTGCTCTACCTGCACTTGCAGCTTTGTTCTTTACTTACACAGAAGGATAAACACAGGAATTATGGGGATCGAACTGGGTATCTTCCTAGCATCATAGATATGATGAGCAGTTTGCGAGGAGATAAACCTAAATTACAGGCTTGTAATGCAAGAAGCACTATGGCCAACATCTGCCTTTAAAATAACACTGCTAAGTCTGTGTGTGCCAACATTGCTCTGGCACTTGGTCTCCCAGATCTCAGCCCAAAATCAGACATGCTGAAGAAGGAATGACTGAGCTGACAGGCCATGATTGCACTCTGTACTACACAGACAGCCCATGCAAGTAACATTACTGCTTTGTGCAGACTTCTACAGGAAAGCCTTTCTCCATGAGAAAGAAGATACAAGGCCTTTAAACCATGAGTCTGTAGATGAAAGGTGCAGCAGAAATCTGTAACAAAAATGGGAGTCAAACTAAAATTTATCATCAGTCAAAATAGCATGAGGGGAAAGAATTGTAAAGTATTACTAGGAAAATGAAGAACTACAGTAATTTATCTCAGGGTGTGGGTGTAATTTTCTGCTTTAACCAAAACCTGTGAAATTCTGACAGTGAAACAAGATCATTTTAATGCATTTCCTGGCCACAGTTGCTACAAACAGACTAATAAGTACTTAATTTTAACAGCGAAGAGCACGTAGATTATCTGAGCTGTTACCCAAAATGCAAGTAGAAGGTTGACTTCAGCAGTCCGTGTTGAAGCAGTACTGTCTCCGTCTCTCTGGGTGCCTCCCAGTGAACCCCGGCCAGCCCCCAGTACTGAAGCACTGACCCCAGAATTACACTGGGAAAACCAAGAGAGCTGCATGAAAGATTATTGGAATTTTAGCTGCCTTCACCAGACAAAGCACACAAAATACCAAGGACAGAGGCAGAGACAAGGATCTGAAATAGGCATAAGGAAGCTCAGAACAGGACCAGAAGCTGTGGGCTACTGCCTCCATGCTCTCACACATGCAGTTTCCTAATTAAACAGCCAAATGTGGTGTCCAGATCCTGTTTTTTGCTGCAGACTTGTTAAATGTGAAAGTTCTGTATTGATTTGGAGCATTACAGCTGTTGTTTGCATTTGTACCCATTGCCCTTGCTAAAAACATTTGGTCATCTGAATGTAACCTAAAAAATAAGTGTTTTTCAGTCTGTTGCCACAGTCTCCTCAAAACCCTGAGAGAAGTGGGAGGCCACCATGTTCTGGCTTCACCTTTACTATTACCCTTTTCCACAGAAAACTTAATTCCCACTTTAAAGTAAATGTGTCATTTACTGTAATTCCTGTATCACTAAAATATCAATATCTTTGTGTTTCAGAGACCTGGAGCATTCATTTTAGATGTCATTTGCAGTTGAGCCAGCCACACTGGACACAGTGAGAAAAGAAAAATAATTTGAAGAAGCTGGACACACCAAGCAGCTTTCCCAAGCTTCCAACACACTTGTATACCTGAAATTTTTCCATGTGTTAATATTTAAATTGTTTGACATCTGAGAAAAGGTTAGCTTTGCCCCAAGGATGCTGTTTTTCTGGAATATTGGCATTTCAATTTCTGAAGAAACTTTTTTGTTCCAGAGAAGTGACATAAATTCATGAAACAAGGAAATATCATCTGATAGCATTTCACAGGACTTTTCTTTTTATATGCCTTTGGTTTTTGTGGCAATTTGTCATTTCTACAATGGTAAGAAATGTCAGGCCTTTGATTCTGGCATGGTCACATTGTCCTTTATTTCACTGCTTGGCACCAAGCCATTGTACTCTGTAGCCCAGCAGGGCTCTTCCTTTGCAGTGTGTAAAATAACTGCTTTTGCACAGCTTTTTGGTTTGCTTTTTTCCCACTCTAGCTAAAGGAAAGATGAGACAAACAGAAACAAGCAGCATTCTTCTGTCCGATTTTGTTCACAGGTAATCATTTGTGTTGTTTCTTCTGGACACACTTAAAATTTCCTGTCCTTCATGCACAGACACAAATCACCTAATTGTTAATGGTTTCTTACCGTGAACTGCTACTCTGTGTTTTCTGTGCATTATATGTATTTATTTGAATCATAGAGTGGTTTGGATTCAAGGGACCTTTACAGGTCATCTTGTTCCATCCTGTCCCAGGCTGCTCCAAGCCCCGTCCAGGCTGGCCTTGGACACTTCCAGGGATTCAGGGGCAGCCACAGCTGCTCTGGGCACCCTGTGCCAGGGCCTCAGCACCTTCATTGTAAAAGGTTCTTTCTTATATCAAATTTCTATTAGAAACGCTATTAGAAGTGCCACCTTTTCTGGGCTCTACTGGTAAACTGGAGGCTCCAGGGTGAACATTACCTGTTAAACTGGTACCAAGTGCCTGTCAGCGAAATTCAAATGGCAAAATGAACTGAGTTTTTCTCTCTACTTTCCTCTCTCTCTTCCCATCGATTGCTGCTGTTTTGTTCCTTTTATGAGTTTATGACTAAAAGCAAAATAAATTTTTAAATTTTTGTTTTTAAATATATATAGAGAGTTATAAATATCTTCTAGCCTCTTACCTGCAGGCTCAGGGACTTACACTTTTTCTAAATACACTATTGCTAATAATGGTGTAGGTTACAAGAATTTCTTCAACAAAAACATTTTAGTAATTTTTTTCCAAAGTATCATACCTGCAATCTAAGTTTTCTAGGTTGCACTTATATGTAGATGCAAGATATAGATTTGTATGAATCAATTTTCTTGGCATCAATTTTCAAAAGCTCCTTTGTACATAAGAATAGAAGATTGAGTTCATGTGTCTCATCTCATTTACAGGTTTTGTTACTGACCTTTCTCTTTGGGTATGCCTCAAAGCCCACTGATGTACCAGATTTCATGTATATTTTCTGTAAGAATTGCTAACAGAAAACAAATGAAACTCGTGTGATTAGTAATGGAATGGATATTCTTTTTTATTTTCTAATTTGTCTTTTGTTGCTTCATTTACATTGTAACATGTATTTAACCCGTATCCAGCAGGCAGTGGTTTAATTTTGTGAGCTGTACTAACGTAAACATAACTCAGAACAAGTTCTGAATGAGGCATGCAGGACAACTTCCTTCCTGTATTTATTTGTCACAAAGCACCAACTGCTGTAGGACTCTTCGTGCCCACTCGTGGCTGTCACACTTCTGATGCTGCTTCCCATGTCTTTTATTGTGATTAAATAAGATTTGCAAAACATTCTCAGGTGTGAAATCTGTACTTTTAGTCTTTGAAGCCTTCAGAGTTCATATATTTTTTAGCAGACAGAAGCATCTGCAAGTTGGTTTCAATTATAAATAATTTAATCACAGGATTATTATTCTTTTAAGTCAGGTGCTGCTTTAAAATCCAGGCAATTATCTCAGAGGGGCAACAAACAAATGCATACGTTTGACTCATTCTTGGACTCGTTCTTTGGGTTGCTGTGCTTTTTCAGGGTTCTTGGTTGGAGGCAAATATCTCTTTTAAAAAGAGGTCATCAATAATGAAGCGCGATGAATTTTCCAGGCTGTGTGAGGAGCAGTTCGTGCCAGGTCAGCCGTTTGCTCCTGTTTCATAAGCTGTGGGCAGGGAGAGCACTGCTCATGGTCCTTCTCATTAGTCCCTTCAGCACCCAGAATAGCCTGGGCTGGGATTTTCAGCGTAGCTGTACTTACTGAAGCAGGTGACAACAACCATATTTACTGGAACTCACTGGGTATTTGTCTTCTAAACCAGGTCACTGCTGGAGCTCATTCTGATGCTGAGTCTTACATAAAATGGGCTGAAGCAGAAAACGCCATCCTGGTTTCTGTATCCCCTCAACTGCCATTCAGTTGTTTGAATTAACAACTTCTTTACCCTGTGAGTTTGCAGATGACACTAAGGTTGCAGGGGTATTGATGTGGTGTCAGGCCATAGTTTTATCTGGAGAGGCTGGATCCGAGGCCAGTGATCTGAGGTTGAACAAGGCCAAGTGCCAGGTCCTGTCCTTGGGTCACAACAGCCCCTGCAGCTCCATGCTGAGCCAGAGGGGCTGGAAAGGGCCAGCAGGAAAGGCCCTGGGGGTGCTGGTGGCGGTGGCTGAACAGGAGCCCAGGTGGGTAAGAAGGACCAGGGCAGTGCCCATTCCCTGTGTTGGACATTCTGGGGTCAGTTTTGAGCCCCTCACAACAAGAAAGATCTTGAGGGGCTGGAGTGTGTCTAGAGAAGGGAATGGAGCTGGGAAAGGGGCTCAGCTGGGAGAAGAGGAGGCTCAGGGGGAACCTCTTGGCTCTGCACAACTCCCTGACAGGAAGGGGACAGCTAAGGGGCTTCTGGCTCTGCTCCCAGGAAACAAGGACAGGAGGAGACAGAATGGCCTCAAACTCTGCCAGGGGAGGGTCAGGTTGGGCATTGGGAGGAATTGGACAGCACCAGTTCCTGGAGCAGATTGTGTTTCTGATAAGCCCAAGAGAAGCTGAGCCCAGGTGTATTTCTCAGATCATGGTGCAACTTGAAAAGGGGCTGGGGGAGGCACACCACCACCAGGACCCCAGCACCCAGTGCATGCAGCAGTCTTGCTGGAGCCTGTTAGTATTCACAGGTGATCAACAAAGCCAAACCACAGACAGAAGCTGAGAGGTCCCTAGAGAAAGAAGTAAACTGAAATAAATGAGAGAAGGTGCTCCAGGAAGAGATAAATAACAACATGGTCACAGCAGGCCTTAGGGCAGAGTTTCCATCAGAGGGTGGGTTGCATCCAAGTGCTGCAGGGTGACACATCAGCTGTACCTGGAGTTTCACTCCTCTCCCCATCACTGAGTATTCCTATCCTGACATTGGAACACATCTGGCAGCAGTGGGAGGGCAGAGAGGGCAGAAGCATGGGCAGAGCTGGCCGAGCAACTCGAGCTGATTGACAGCAGACCGCTCTTGGGCAGGTCAGGAAGCAAACACATATTGTTGGAAGAACATCTACAGCAAAGAGACAGGAAAAAAATGTGGTATATAAAGGCTTCAGCTGTTGGCAAGAATTTCTTATTTTCACACTGATCGAATTATTTTCACTGTGTATGAAATCACGAAGTCACAGAATCACTGAATCATTTAGGATGGAAGGGAGATCAAAGATAACTGAGTCCAACTTTTGACTGACTCCATCTGTAAATGACCCCCCTCATCCCCCTTAGTCCATGGCCATGCCCGTGGGAGGGTCAGTGATGTGTCAGTGCAGGATAGGGTGTGAAACACAGGATACAATCTTTTCAAAATAATATCTAACCAATAATTATCCAACTTCCTACCAGGGTGGTGACAAAACATTACCTGCCCTCCTATTGGATCTATGGGTTATTTTGAATTCACTTTTCCTCCACAGTCTGTTGAAGGTCTGTTTTCATGGTTCATTTTATTCCCTTGGGTTCTCATAACAAGAACTATTTACTAACCTGGCTCCTTCCCAAGAAGAGAGTGCCACAGCTCCCAGTCAGGAACAGAGAGTTATCAATAGATCCTCATCAGGCAAGTCAGGCTTTGTCAGAAATGGAGATGGCAAAAACTCAGGTTCCTTTTTCATTCAGCCTCCTTCCTGATGTTTTCCACTCCTCTTTTTTCCAGTCTTCCAGCCTAGAAGTTGCCCCGCTCCCTTTTTAATGGTACAAGTTTTAACTAGTTGAGATATGAGTGTAAATATGGTGCCCTGCTAGGAAGCACCACACCAGGACTACTGAAACAGTGCAAAACATTTTCACTGGTACCAAAAATATTTGAGAATAAATCAGTTTCATCACTACCCAACATTACCACAGATTTCTGGCATGAAGGATGAAAATAATCTAAACTCTTGGGAAGGCCTTATGTTTCAGATTTGTTCTGGACTTGTGGAAGATATGGAGGGAAACAACTATGTGTCTTTACCCTGAAATAGGAGTTATTTTTTTCTGTGTCAGAAAACATGATTCACCAGGCATGCCAAGGAGAGCATCGCTCAGGAAAGAAATGACTGTATCCCCTCAGGCTTCATCCCATGCAGAGTTTCAAATCCTGGCAACGTGACTTGGGAACATAACTGAACTTCACAAACTGTGTGAAGTGCACTAACTGGGGAGCATTGGGAGCAAGCCACAATGCACCTGTGTGGGTCAATGTTGTCCTTCCTTCGTACTCCATAAAAATTCTTTCTTCTCCATGCTAGTAGAAAAATAGGTTTGAAAACCCCACATCCCACAGCTGCACTGGTAGGATGCCTCACAGCCTCTTGAAGGGACTCTGGTTATCACACAGAGGTCCTGCAATCTTCAAACCTGATGTCACTGATAATATTTTGCTTAATTTGCACATCCTCTTCACCTGCAGACACAGGGTGTGACGGAATGATGTGTTTTGTTCATCGTTCCAGAGTCAGGACCAGCCTAGACTCATCCAGGGCTGAATTTCATCCACCTCAGAATGAGGAATTTACTTCCTACTTGTTTTCTTATTGACTCTGAGATCACCAAGATGAGTTTTACTCATATTTCACAGGGCTCCTGGCCTGGGAATACCCTGAAAGATATCATTGCAATTCTTTCATAGAAAACTGCTATCTAAATTATTACTGTTAATAATAATTATTATTTTCTGCTATAATTTTACCTGTTATACCTGGACTTTGAATTTGGTTCCAATGTGATGTAAGTTATCCCCCTACCTCCTGGCAGAACAGAGTTCTTGCAGAGCAGAGCAAAGTAGCCATGTTAAATTGGCTGTGAGCCAGCTCCAGAGGCACAGGTGAAACAAAATCCAGCTCTATGCGACCATTATGGATCAGGAATATTTAAAAGGCACAGGCATCATTTTTCCAGCCTTCACTAGGAGCTTTTAAAATGAATTAGCTCAGACCCCACAGAGGAGAAACAAGGTCAGCTTTCTCTTTCTGATGCAGCGGAGCGTTCAGCAGGGAGCAGCCACGGGGACCAGCATTTATCCCTGCCCGTCCCGGCCGTCGCTGGAAGCGGGGGGCCGGAGGTGAGGCACCGCAGGACGGCTCAGAGCAGCCTCCGGACAGCGCCCGCAGGGCTGGAGCACTAGGAGACCCCAGGGTAGCTAAAACCAGGGCTAACAAGGAAAACAAAAAGCCGCCTGAGTGCGATGAAATATTTTGCTACGGAGAAGAGAGGATTCGCTGTACATTGTGAGAACACGTCTCGCCTGTGATTTATCCAGGTTTCATGTGCAGCGGCACGCTGGCTGCTGGCACCCGACTTCACTTGTTACCAGTTCGTGAAGCACAGACTGAGTCTGAAACGTTTTTGCTTTACTAGACACAATGCTAAGGATTTATCAACAGCACCATGGCAGAAAGCTTTTCCTTGTGACCACAGTGTAAAGTGGCCTGTGCTCCAAAATGGCAAGGGCAGCTCAGGATTCACCCAAAATATTATTTTATGCCAAAGCAATGGTACTGAATTAACTGGAGCAGTGTTGCCGCATACCTGTCTCATCTCCTGCTTCTGATTCCTTCCTTCCATGTGGCTCTAATAACATCCCTATGAAGTGGGTGAGATGAAGATGGAAAATTACGCCCTCCCCTGAATCCTATAATTTTGTAGTTTCATCAGGCTGTTGTTTCGCTCCCATCCAAACCTTGGTGATGCTCTGGTCCCTTCACCTGGTGCCTGGCACAAGGCTGCTCCTGCAGCGGCAGAGGGTTGGGGCATGCTGCCCAGCACAGGTGCCAGCACAAGCACAGCCTCCCACTAACAGCTGCTCCTCTCCCCGAAGGGCACAAACCAACAGGCAAGGAGGGGAGTCCAGTTCCCACTCATCAGGGAATCAGTCCACAGAAGGGCACAGGATGAAGAGGATTTCTCCTCCTGATGAAGTTTTCTCAGAGATGCTCCTCCATGACCACTCAGGCTCTGTTCAACAGAATCCAGTGCCAAGCTCTGGGGCTCTTCTTGTCCCCAGTCTTGTAGCAGCAGATACAATCCTGGCTGTGGGTTAGTGACTCTACCTAAGGTTTCAAGTTGTGTCAGGGGAGATTTAGATTTGGTATTAGGAAATATTTCTTCATGCAAAGGGCTGTCCAGCCCTGGCACAGGCTGCCCAGGGCAGTGATGAAGTCACCACTCCTGCAAGTGTTTAAAACACAAGTCGCTATGGCACTTTAGGACATGGTTTAATGGTGAACATGGTGGTGGTGCCAGATCAGCCTTCATTATATTAAGAGCTCGTTTCCAGCCTGAACAGTTCTATGATCCCATG